GAATGTTAAGGATGAATTAGCTGCCCATAACGAGAATGCAAATTCTGTAGTTTTTAAGATATTTGCATTTGCCAAATGAAAGTTCCACGTAAGATTTATTTTCATCCATTTATGTATACCTGTATCGTGCTTATGACGTGGAATATCTGGGAGACCACATCGTGGTTTACGCATTTGACGTAACGTATAATCGTTCAATGTACCATCACCTTGTATTTGATAATATTCTTGAAATAATGAAATAGCCTGTTTAAGTTTTTCACTCCCGATCGATAATTGCGTATTGTTCCCAATGTTATTTAAATAACCATATTTTTGCAGATATAGAATTATTTCTGTATTTATATCTTGAGGAGAAGAAGGAGAATTCATCGTTGTAGTCGTTGCCATTATAGTTTTAATAATGGTAACAAAAATGATGATAAACACAATAGACATTATGGTATAAAATGATGTACACTGCAAGACGAATGAATTACTTCTGCGATCTTACATATGTATTCTCAAACGATACTATTGTACGAGTATCTATTTAAAAAAGAAAGGGAAGATGAAATCATGAGATATAAATAAAGTGTATGTTATATATTTGATAGTATGAGTCATACATATAATTAGAATGTGTTGCAATAACACAGTAGCGTAACATTACAGTAGCGTATAATATTTATTGATTTATTTATATAATAAATTTTTTTAGTTAAAAATAGCAAGTTTCGAATTCATATCGTCATATAATTTCAAAAATAACATTAGGCAATGTATTATATTCTATCACTCTATCATGAATAATAAGACAATAAGCTGTGAAATTCTCAAGAATATTTTCCATACATTCAAATTCTATACGAATGATAGCGCTTTTTTATCAATTCGTTTTGAAGAGAACAATCAATTATGACGAATGGATCGTTTAAAATAAATTCTGTGATAGATAACAGAGTATCATAATTACTGTAACCGGAATATGCCTTTTGAAATTTTATATACATATCATAAGTAAAGTATAACGTATTTATTGAATTTGAAATTTAAATTCATATCGTCGTAACGATAAAAATCAGAATTTTAAAAGTTTCCGATTAGTGAGGTTACATGTGTCGAATTACGAAACAATTTGTGATACTACGTTTCTTCTTCCGGTTTAAAGCATAAAACTACATATCACGGTTTATCTAACTGTGATAAAGTTTTCTAAATAGTAAGTTTTGAATATATGTATATCATTATATAATTTTACGAATAACATTAGTCAATGGATTATATTCTATCACTCTGTCATGAATAATAAGACAATAAGCTGTGGTGTTCGCAGGAATATTTTCCATACATTCAAATTCTATACGAATATCCACAGTAGCGCTTTTTATTAATTCGTTTTGACGAGAA